TTGGCGAAGTACATAATTAAAGGAAATATGCAGGATTTTAAAAGCAGTTCCCTGGCGCCTTCGGAGGATTTTGATGAGATTAGGCGTTTCAGAAAATAGCTGTATCGTCACGCTTTGATGAATAGTTTTTCTAAAGTGTAGATTTTCTCTTACGCTGATAACAAGGTAGTTTGTGCTGGTAACTCGTTTTATCATCTGATTCTATCATGAAATGGAAAGGAGAAGGCAGCTGATCGTACCATTGCCGGTGTGTATTTTGAGCCCGAACAAACATGATTTGGGTTTACTACATTTAATGAATAAGCCATTTTCTACTGATCAGTCTTGAACAGAAATGACTACGTAAGAGTACTTTCAAAGATCATCCACTGAAATAACCATATTCAGTATCACGGATCATCGGTATTTTGTGTAGACTGTAAAGAAAAGCGGAGATAAGACCTGTCCCTACAGAATTCCTAAGTTGTTTTGTAAAATGAAAGATTTGCGTCGACTGACCCGTACGAACTGAGTGCGGATAGAAACACAGTGGGTCAGCTAGCGCAAGATGCTGAGGTTATTATCGAGAAAACAAAGAATACTTAACAGGATATCGCGACGCACCGTGTTAAATGCATTACTATAGTCAAGAAATCGGCGAAGTGCAACTGTCTAGGTCAAAACCTTCGGTACCACATTTGCAAAGTGCCCAGACATCAATGCAGCCTCTGTGTTTTTCTTTGTAAGCGAACTGACAATGGTCAACTAGTTAAGATGCATCCGTATTGATTTGTGGTTGCAGTAGAGTTTCTCTGTATTCGAAAGACTGATATTACAATCAGGGGACGGAAATCTTTTGCTACGACAGATGTAGGTTTCCTGGGTACGAAAGTGGCCACTGCGATGTTCCACAGTTTCGGTATATTTCCTGACTTGAGACTGTCATCAAAGATGCAGACATACTGGTAGCATAACTCTTTCGTACATTCTTTGAGGATGAAGGCATCCACGCAAACGAAACCTATCGCTAAATCGCTCCGTAATCCGAAAAAGCAGTTATGCACTTTAGCGTCCATCAGGCATACAGATTGAAATTCGGAATTGCTTCTGCGGGTGAAAACATCGAACCTTCGCGTTGCATTGCTAACAGGCAGTCTTGCATCCAGAAACTGGTTGTTCAGTTTTTCTGTCTATGGTGCAGTTTCTGTTACCACTGTTGTAGCTGGCAAGATGCGGATATTTTCCACAGAGTAAGGGAAAAAGGTATGCAGCAGATGGTCAGCGTAGAATATATTTTATTTGTGTATCTCCGCTTTTATGCTTTTCGTAATTTCTTTGCGCTTAACGTAGTTCTTAGCGTTGTAAGCTTTCCCTTACCATTTCGCAGTCTGATCAGTGCTTTTGGTGCTAGACATCATCGCTTAACGAATATACTGTAAGTAGGACACCAGA